TAGTACAGTGCTTTATCTCTGATTCTTTGCCATTAAGATGCTCATAAGCTGCTTCCTTTTTCCTTTAGAGTTGCAACATGGGGAGTTTCCAAGCCCTGCAGTGGTAGGCTGTGTTGCAGAGGGTTACATGTTCTTTTAAAATGTAATTGGAATAGACACTGGTTTTTGACTTCTTCCTGTCAGTACAATGCAAACCTGTGGCAAAAAGAAAGAGGCACTAGTTACCCTCTCCAGGTTTTCAGCTTTTATTTTTTTTCAGCTTTTTCAGGTATTGAAGGAATGCTGAGAGGTGTCTCTGACAGGCCCCAGTGATGCATAGCAAACAGTGCTGGAGTAGGCTCCCAGTGGGTTGGGTACAGGGTAGGGCTGTGATGCTTGCCTGGACTCTCTTTTGGCTTTGTGAGTCTTGATTCAGCCTGGACAGCAAACAGCAAAACAGTGTTTTTCATTTCCTTGAGTGTGATATGGACCACATCATCGTTTGATAAATGTGCCGTGTTCCAGAGCGAACAGCAAAATTACTGAGTGTCAGATTATTTGGCCTCTGTCTTGGCAGCATTTTGTTTCTCTTTTTCAGCAGAGAGAAGGATGAGTAATGTTGTCTGTGATGCTGGGGCAGCTACGAGCTGGATTGAGACCAATGAAACAATTAAGATACCCCCTCACAGATTTTACATATGGTGTTTAGAAACTGCCACCCTGATGGCCTAAACTCTAGTGGCCTAGGAGTGGTAGCTCTTTCCCCAAAAATCCCCTAACCAATCAAACCTTAATCCATTTGAGAGGGAGACAAACCTTCAGCAGGGATGGCTGTAGGCAGTCTGGCCTGGCAGGCCCTGGTACCCTCCAAAGGGAGGGCTGGCAGAATCACAGCTTTTCTCTTTTCCAGAGGAGATACTCCATGTCTTTCCCTCTGGGAATAGCCTGGGCTTTCCCAGTGCACAGCAAACTGCTGTCCAGACCCCAGACTCCTGGGGATGTGATGGCCATTAACAATGTAAGCCAAGAAATATTCATGTTTATCCAAGCCTCTGGGCAGTCTCAAGCCAGAGAAATGCTGTCCAAGACAGGACAAACCCAGAGTGTTGTGTGAGCTCCCCTCTTAAAGAATGTGTTTGGAAAAACCTCACATGATTTAAAAAAAAAAAAAAGAGAGACTGGGTGCAGTAAATTATGCTAATTTTTCCAATTTTTTTTTTTTTTTTTTTAATGAAGGACACAAAGCTGAGCTATCTCTGGCTGCAGCCGGGTGAGATGTTTAATATGACACACAAGTAATTTTATTTCCTCCTATGTAATCTTCTAGAGTCACCAATTCAAGAGGAAGGAATGCATTCTTTCCAATTTTCACCTCATGTCTGGTGAAAATATGAGAGATCAGATAGCAGGGAATTTAAAAGGAAAACCGAATCTAATCCCTTGGTTGTGCAATATGGCATTTTTTCCCTAATCCCCGGATTGCTCAGTACACTCTTCTCCCCTTACCCCCACCTCCTTAGTGCAGAAAGGAAAGCATTGAAGTGTAATTCTGCCATCAGCAGATGACAGGTTGACACTGTCATTTTCCTGCCCATACAATAGCTGCTTACAGTTCCAATTTCCCTTCTCTCTGAAGAAAGGCTTTGAGTTTGGTGTTTATATCAGTACCTGGTCCAGTAAGCTGCAGCTGCTGAGCCCGAGCGTGGGGCTCCTCTCCTTTCACAGCTCGTGCTATTCCTCTGTGGGAAGAGAAGATAAGATGACTAATTTGGGGAGAGAGATGGAAGGAGGAAGGGAGCTGACCTATGGCTTTGAAAGTGCTGGGCTCATTCCTCATTTCCTAACTGGTAGGGGCTGCTCTCTGTTCAGGGAGAGGTGCAGTGCAGGCAGAGGCAGGGAGAGCTTCAATCACAGACTGATTATATCCCTCTTCTGACTTAGCAGAAAAAGAAAGTAATTCACTTTCTTTTCAGTCTTTGGCCTTTGTCCTAAGATTACTCAACTTTTACTTCACGAAAATTTGAGATCACCCCATTTTACACATGAAGTGCCAAGATTCCAAATGGCCTTTCTTTTCTGCCACCAGTGATGTTATTTTGCTATCTTTTGTGGCTGTGCATCTTATCAGTTATAAAGCTGAGCCTGAGTTTCTCCTGAAGGATATGGATGTGCTCCATGTGTCTGCTTCTCCCATCTGCTTGTGCTGGGAGCTGCAGGTGATAAAAAGAAAAGGATTTGATTATTTCAACCCTGTCAGAGTTTTGGATCCTCCAGCTGACCAAAGATAGGCTTTTCCAGTGGGTCGCCAGCAATTATAAACTGAGAGAAGGAGAGGAAGGAAGGGTGGAAAGTCATGCTTAGAGAGCACCAGGTAATACTTCAGAAGAAAAATTTTTCCAAGCTTGAAAGAAGCCAGTAAGGATGTGAAATACAGAGAGAAAGAAAAGAGGGAGGAAATAAACTGGGACAGCAGAATCACCATTCAACTCCACCCAATTTGATCCAATGGGTGAAAAAGAGAAAGGTGTGGATTGCTCTCACAGAGGAGACACATCTTGCTGTCTCAAGAGGCAGTTCCCTGGCACATTGGCTCTCCTGCCCACTCCTGCCTGCACCAGGAGGGTCATGTCCAGAAAACAGGGGGTTCTTCTGGGTTTTGCTGTGTCTGAGCTGTGCCTGGACAGCAGCCCCTGTTTCCTGCATGGCAGCCCCTTTCCCAGCCACCCCTACCCAAACACACAGTGGGAGCTTTTTGTTTCTGATTCAGTCACTTTGCAAACAGTGTCACAATTTGTCAGGTGCTGAGAATGATATTTGCTTGATGGAAATGTTGGCCCTATTGTGAATCAATCCTAACAGCTTCTCACAGCGAGGTTGTAAGACAATGAGACAAATTTACTGCACAGGCAGACAAAGCAGCTTCTATTATGTGTGAAACCACAAATAATAGGAGGAAAAATGAAAACCAGTGAAAATATCTTCATGATGAGTGGTTGCAGGCACAACAGTGCGTGTCAGCAGCTGACTGGAGTGATGAAGGTGTTGGGGATGGCCAGGTGAGCCTGGAGGGATCGTGCCTGAGCTGGGGGTGTATGCTGAAACACAAGGAAGATGTCAAAGCCATTCTGTGAAGAGTCTGCTCAAACATAGAGTCAGTGGGAAAACACGTTTGCTGTTTAAAATAGCTCATTCTAAGAAAGCTGGGCATCAGGTAATACTTGTGAAGGTACCACAGTATATGCATTTGCTTGTAATTCCAGTCCTCTATAGTGGAGAAGGGTAGCTTAAAAGTTCACAGTGGAGTATTTCCATTTTAAAAAAAAAAATTGACATAATATTTTCCAACTGAAATCTTCTGGGGAAGATACTGATTTATTTAAAAATCTTCCCAACCATGACCAATATATTTATATATTCATCTTATCAATAAAATATAGAATGGTTGATATTATAATTAATTTTCTTCATCCTGAGTTCTTCTTTTCACTCTGATTCAGAAGAGAAAAGAGATTTTGTCTTGATTTGAAATTTGAGAATTTTCCAAAGAATGGGAATGAAAGCCATCATTATTTGGTAGCATTTGTGAAACTATCTTGGCCATGATTAATTTTTTTATGATAGAAATGTGTTGTAATAACCACATCTAGTGCTGGTCAGTCCTGTGACACTTAGCCTCTTCTGAGCTACCAGAGACAGAAGGAACATGGAATATGAGTTGTCCTCTGACTGCTAGCAGGAGCTTCTTGAGGTCATGATTAAATTATCTTATCAGAGTAATATTGGGTGGCCATCCAAATTTTTCCAGCTAAAGAGAGCTGAGAGATGAATGTACATCAAGGTGTATAGTGAATAGTCATTTTTTTCTTCTCTTTCTGAGAATGTTCTGTATCTATGGGATTCTTCCTCTGCACCTCCTGGTGGAAGTAACTGGCTAGCAGAAAGTCGAGTAGTCACTTAGTGGCGACAACTCTTGTCTTACAGAGAGGATGAAAGGGATGTCTGATGTTAGAGCTGAAAAGGCTTCTGCCCTGGAGAGATGTTGAAGTGCTCTTTAGCCATTCCTGCTGCTCCTTTCTGAGCATGGAGCAGTTGGATCAGCAATTACCCTCTCTCAGGGAGGGGGCATCAGGGGGTGGGTTTTGGCAGGATGGTGATCTCTCCCACCATGCTCTGGTTGCTGAGCACCACAGTGTGCTTGGCTCAGCAGGGTGAGAACTTCCGCGAGTCAAATTTCCTTGAGATTTGGCTCTCTGGGCTGAGGAGCTCCCATCCCATCCCATCTGGGCAGCAGAAAAGGAAGGAGGGTAAGACTGAAGGGTGCTGATAACTGCAGCCTGGAAATAAATGTAAGAGATAGGCGGAATAGCAAGGCAGTGTTTGATATAGTGAATTATGTCTGGACAAGGGATTGCTGAATTGTCAGTCACAGAACAGTGTCTGCTTGTACTGGTTTTGCTGTTCCAGACATATGTCTCCCACAGGATTTAAGAACTTTCTTGGGAAGAGACCATGTGAATGTGCAGTTCTTGCCATTAAGACTAATGCATTTCCTTCTAATGGCTCTGCTGTGATGAATCAGTCCCCACATGCACGCCTTGGTGGTTGGTGTCACGCCCTGCTGGCTCTGGAAAAATTGTGAGCAGTGGTATGTGTGAAGAAGTCAGTATGAGGAGAGGAGGAATTATCCCTGAAGGATAATTTCAGGCTGGGGAGACTACCCCTACTCAATGGTTGTTATCATGTGAGAGAATCTTCTCTAGAGGACCATTTTGCCAACATAATTCTGGCTCCAGACTGTCCTCTGGAAGAGCCCATCTCTGTTGACTGCAGGCAATCTACGGAAAGCAGTCTTAAAATTAGTTTTTATGTGGACCCTTCCTACAAACAAGATGAATAGATGTATATGCTTGTTAGTGTTTGACATATGCTTCCAAAATAATAAAAAAAAAAAGGCAAAACATAGAACTTGCAAAATTTTTTTTTAAATTTTTTTTTTAATTTTTGTTGTTGTTTTGGTTTTTTTTGGCAAGATATAAATCTGCTTTGAAGTGGAAATGGTGACTTCTTTTTAGTGGATGCTGGAAAGTATGTCAATTTTATAAAATGCTGCAATATCTCTACAGCCAAATAGAGATGTTGCCATTTTGCCTGCTGTGAACTACATCTTGAAAATGAACTGCTTTGCCAGCTGCAAGGGCAGCTGGGAGCCACTTGTTCTGTGATTCAGTCCTGGTGCAGGACATGAAAGCAAATCTCTTGCCTCTCTAGGGCATATATATCTAGGGGGGCACATTTGTCATGTTTTCCGTGAGCTACAATAGATTGCCTGGAAAATAAAATGCGTGGATTGCCCATGACTGCTGGTCTCTCAGGACTGTTCTTTAATGGTTCAGAGCCAGCCCTGGCTGCTGAAAAGAGCATGTGTTAGAGGAGGGTTGGGTGGATGCCTCTGTGCAAGTCCTGATGTTATTCCGTGGGACAGTCCCTTTTTTGGTGAGCTTTGCTCTTAGCTTAACATTTGCTGTTACTCTAATTCATTTACCTCTCCAGAATGGCACAAACAAAACCTGCAGGGGGGCAGGAACGGGGACAAATCATATTTATTGTGAATATGTGACACCTCCAGCTGTTGATGATGTGCTGAATGGTACCTGGGTGGCTGATATTTGACCTCTTCGTTAGTTTTGCTTTTTTCTTCCTTTGGTTTCTTGGGAGCCTGAAAAGCTATAGATGAAATGAAAAAGGACTGAAGAAGGGTAAATCACTTCAGGCATTCAAGTGTGTTTGTGATTATTCTGCAGGAAGAGAGATGACAGACTGTGATTATTTGGTTTATAAGTAGAAGAAAATATGATGAAATAAGTGAGCTCAGGGGCTTTTTCTTTACTTGCCATACATGATTGTTTTGTGTGTATTTAATAGGGACTTCACTGCTGCAGCAAATCATTGAAGGGAAATATTCAGTAGAATCCAAAGAAGGATTAGGCTTTTATAGGAAAATGAACTGCATTCGTAACAAGTCTGACTGCTGAGTACCCACAATGTCACTGGAGCTGCCAATGTTTTCGTGCTTCGGGAGCTGAGAATGTGACCTGGAGGGGCTGGAAAGGGAATGTCTGTGCACTGCAACTTTCCATCCTCCACTGGCTATGTGCCAGTGCCTGTGTTTCTGTCTGCCTTGCCCTAAAACACCAGTATAGTCATTGGTGGGATATTGAGCAGAGTTCTTGAGCTCATTGGGCAGTGATTTGATCAGGTGTGACAGCCGCTAAGGACCTAAACAAATAGCAAAGAAGCTAATTCTGTTCCCCTATCTAAAATTCTAATCTTGTTTGTGACATCACAATTGGTTGCCATAGGGACAATTATGGTGTCATAAAAAAAGGATTAATGATGAGTTTAAGTGAGGATTAAGCAGCTGGAACAGATGAACTTTTTAATAACTCCTGCCTCCTGAAAGCTACTGTTTTGTGCATAAAAATATATCTCCAAATAAAGAATGATGGGCTGCATGACAGTAAATATGCACTGAAGGAACTGTTATGCATCTGAGATGATGTTGCCCTAAGCTTCTATCAGGATGCTGCACTGTAAAAGAAATCTCATCCACATAGAGAAATGCTAGAATGAACAACAGATCTCCTGTCTCATTTGTGGACTTTTCCAGGTGTGAAACTCCACAGGTTTTTTTCTTCTGTGCATCTTTTTTTTTTTTGTGTATTCAAACATGAAAAGCTATGTGGATTTGGGGTTAGTGTTCCACTGTAGTTAGTTTAGAAAATAAGTATGAGGGAAGCAATACATAAAAGATAAATGAATTTTGATGCAACTGAATATGTTCACTTGTAAGGCTGCTTCAGATTTTAGTGGCTTGTCTGTTTGGGATGGCTTTGTCAAGAAAATCAGGATTCCTGGAGCTAGCATACTTCAGTATAGATCATCTGATGCTTTAGCTTTTGCCCGTGCTATAAAAGCTGGGAAGGGCTACTGAACAGAGGGCAAATCAAGCAGACAGGATTCTTGTGCCCAAGCTGGCAGGATCTGAGCTACTGCATCAAATGGTCAGTTCATACACATTTTCCATGCTGCTGATTGTATGCCATTTGTAAAGCAGAGTTTTGGAAAGCACCTGAATTGTTTCTGCAGCATGAGTGTCTGTGCTGGCTGCTTTGTGCATGTTCCCTGAGAGCCAGGCAGGCTCCGCGTGGCTCCGCAGCTCTCGCTGCCGCTCTCACCTGAACACCCTGGTGCCATGGGCTAGCAGAAGGGCCATCAACAAGAATTATTAACATGTGTCAGGGGATGGAAAAGTAGTGTGGATAGCACTGGGGATGGACTCAGTGGCAAGAAACCTGAGGGCTTGTGTGTGGGTGTCAGTGCTTTGTTGTCTCCCTTGCTCTTGTTACATTTGCTTGACTCTGTCTCTCTCCTTCTGGCTCCTCTTGGTGCCTCTGTTATGAGCTGGAGAGGAATGCCTGCATCTGCCTGCTTGGGAGAGGAAACACTGAGTTCCTGAGGTTTTCTGGGGATCCAGTTCTCTTGTTTATTACCGTGATGTTGGTCTTGGTTGTGACTTTTGAAGTGGAGTAAGACCAGCACCGTTTGGCTGCTGCTGCTGAGAGTTGGAGCAGAGCTGCTCTTGCATCCATTACAGAAGTGCATGGGAATCCTGAGCAGAACACACTGGCTTGTTCAGTGTGCTGTTGTACAGACAGTGACTTGTATGCCAGGTGTTCCTGTGAGGCGTTCCTGCTGGGGTTGCCTTCTGCCTTGGTGTGCAGGTGGCAGATGGGGCTGGGTGTCTGTGGTCCTGGCCCTGCTCTTGGCTGCTGCATGCTGAGCACAAACCTCTCTCTCTCAAGCGGTTTTGGGGAGTAATGACAAACTCTGAGGATTTGTAAAGTGGTTTTCAAAATCCTGTACAGGCATACATTAATCTCTGCAACACCACTGGGGTGGCAGAGGACAGGCTGTTCTCTTACCACCGGAGATGAAATTCAAGAGTAAAGGTTAAACTATGAATTTTTCAGACATTTGTAGAGTTGAAACAGTCCTTTCAGAGTACTTGCTCAGGGACACATGAACTTGGGGCACTTAAGAGTCTGTCTCTGATTTTTAGCCAGGCTGAAGGTTTTGCCACAATTATAAGAGATTTCTGTGGGTATAATGTCAGTAGGTTTGGATACTCTGACTGCTGCCTTCTTAATTTTATTTATCTCTTCTCTCCCAAAGCCTTTGACCTTCATTCCTCCTGGATGTAGCAGCCCAGTGTGCAGCATTTCACCTCAATCTGCCCTTTTGCCCCCAGGCAAAGGATTTCCTGGCCAAGGATCCAACCCTGCAGTTTTGCAATACTTTGGGAAGAGCAGTTTGTAACTGTACTCTGTCTAGTCCTGCCCTCTAAGGTAGTGATACTGAAATCAGCTTGAGAACAAAAATTTTAACACAATTGGAAGTATTAGCAAACTGGCATTTTTTATTACAGTGCTGGACACATCTGGGAGATTTTTCCTCTAAATGAATGCATGAAATTTTACAACAGGGTGTTTATTCCACCATGATTAAACATATTCATTACAACATATTTCCTAGCCAATACATGAACATCACTTTTCCTGGAATTAATTTACATGCTTCTGCCTCTTACTGGAAGTCCTCTTATGGTCCTGAAGAGTCCTCTAAAGGTGTGGTCGTATTCACTGAGAGCCCCCAGTATTGTGATGACTTTGCCTTGACTTCTCTTAGGGCATGTGCTGTTATTTCTTGATGCATAGCTTTGCCACAAAAGACACTATGCTCCCCACTGTTTATCCACTGGTTCTAGCTATGTTTATCATCCTATGTGCATACTTCTACATTCTTTTATCCAATTTGCTAGTTAGTCTTTAAGCTTCCTTTTGCAGCTTCAAGGCAACTGAACATTTTTCTTCTCCGTGTTGTCTCTCAGCAGGAATGTCACAGAGCTGGAGCGTTGCTGCTCTGAGCTGTGCAGGCAGGCTGGGGAGTGCTGGGATCCCAAGTCCTGGAGCAGTAGGTGCAGGGCAGAGTGGCATGATGAGCCCAGAGCAGGGCAGATAGCTTGTGCCAACACAGACCTCTATATTTTGGGCTTTTGCGGGGGAGCAAAAACTCTCTGCTGTCTGGACCTTGGTGGTTCTCTTCTGAAATAGATTATCCAGTTGAGCCTTTTACTCAATCAGCAGTAATTCCTTGAGGAACAGCTGGGAGGGCACAAACAATTTTATCATCTCCTCCAGACTGAGAAGGTGTGCCCACCACCCGGTGTGGAGCTTCAGGCAATTTGAGAATGCAGTGCCCAAGGAACTACTTTGTTATTTTTCCATCCATGCTTATCCAGTGGTCTGCAAGCTCCTCCCTTCCCATACAGAGATGTGGGGCTCTGACTGCCCTGGGAACACCTCAGCTCAGTGCCAGGCCTCCTCAAGGTTTGCCCAGGGACCTGGTACCACCAGTTTAGTGATGGGGACCTGTTGGTAGCTCAGGGGGGTGAATCTAGGAGAAAGCACTGCCTTGGCTTCCTCTCAGATGTGGATTCCTCCCTTAAATCCCAAGAGCTCCTTTGTAAAATCAGATGCATTCTGTTTGTTTTCAACAGGCTGCACCTCCCAGAGTCCTTCTGTCTTGGTTACAGCAAAGTCAAGGTGTACAGCTGGAAAGAAAAGTGTTCCAACTCCTGTGCTATAAAGCCCTGAAATAAGCATATCCCAGTTGTGTCTTGGATGGTCTGTGTATGACACGTGGCCAGTGAGAGGGCACAACTGTGTGCCTCTGAGCTGGGCAGGAGAGCATTATTCATGAGTGATCACATGCAGCTGACAAACGGTGGAGGCATATGATAAATTGGACCTTCGGCTACCTCACCCTGGAGAACAAACAGCCTGGCTCTCCACTGAGTGCCTGCTGTGCTGCTGGGGCTGGTGATGGAGGTCCCCTTGTGACAGGAGAGCTCATGATCTGCCTCTCTGTGGGTGAGGAACAGGATAGGGCTGTCCCTCCTTTCAAGCAGGGGGTGAAGTACATCTCTAGACTAGCACAACCGTTCCCAAAGTCACCTTGCCCTTGCAGAGTTCGGATGCTGCAGGGGTGGACACCAGCAGCACTTTCTGCCTTCAGTCTGAGGGTTTTTCTAAAGACTGGTCCTGCCTGCCTGGGCTGCAAAAGTGCTCTCTGAAAGTGCAGGTCTTGTGATCTCAGGAGGCATTAAACACAGATTAAACTGGAAAGCGTGTGGGAGCAGTGGGTCTGGATGCTAACATCTGCCAGAGCACAGGGGTGGTATGTGAAGCAAGGGGATTTCTCTGTCTGTTGATACCTAGGTAAGAATTGTGAGCCAGAATGCTCCAATTATCTGTTTATATAGATGTCTCGAGTTCCCTGCTGCTTTCCAAAACACAGAAGTAAACTAAGCCCGTTTCACCTTCTGACATTTAAAACCTATTTCCATTTGCTGTGTCAAAATCTCTCCCCTCATCTCCCTCAGTATTTTATCTTTGTCCTAATTAATTGGAAAATTATTAAAAGCCCCTACCCAAACCTCATAAACAACTTCTTAAATTCTAGATTGTGAATTTATTTCACTTTAGCTGGGACTGAAGCCCTCTACCATTTGTAAGTTACTGAAAAGCCTTTGCATAGGTGGTATTAGTTTGCTCCCAAATGGGCAAAGACACTGTTCTGGTTTTATTAGTGATCTCCATATCAAAGAGAAGACCAGGCTCTGAGGCTATCCTGGAGGTCTTTGAAAGAAAGCTAGAGGCAACCAACATCCCAAATCCCATTAATTTCCATAAGATCTGCTCTCCAGCTTTTTTGATTCCTCTGGAAAATTGCTGCAGATGGTTTAATGGGATCTGCCTCACAGAAGCCTTCTGTGGATCAGGGTTTTGTGGCTCTAACCAGGATGTTGATGCTCTCCTTGTTTGAAATGGGGACTTCCCATGGGTGAAGCAGTAACAGTTTTTATCTCACCTAAATTTGGGTCTCACTTTTTAGGGCTCCCCTTTTTTGATTTTTAGAAATATTAAATAATAAATTTCACTGCAAGATATGTGTAAATGGGAAATTATTTCTGGCTCTTTATTTCATTTCTGAAGCACTGTTGTTCAATCTTATGAGGTTTTTGATGATGGTAAATGAAAAAAGAAAACCCTCTAGCCAAATATCTCTTGAACAGAGCCCCCTCTTCATCTGAATCTGGGAACATGAAAGTACAAATCTGTCTCTTGCTGAAAAATTTCATTTCTGTTCTAATTTGTAATGGGTCTCTAGATGCTGAAACAATTTTCCTTTCTCTGCAGATTTATCCCGAGCTTTTGTCAATGGTTTCGACCTGAATGTTTAAAGTACATTTTTCTCTTTTCTTTCCTCTTACATGTAGTGCAAAGAAAAGTCTAAGCCAGTTGCTGACCAAAATGAGCCATGGTGACAAAAGTGTTAAATATGAGTCAGACTCTCTTGTTTTAGTGGATGAGTCAGCTTTAGTTTTAAGAAAAACATTAAAAAGATGATTGGAAAAAATGCTGAATGGAAATATTTCAGACGAGTCTCTCTGTTGCGGAGAGAGAAGATGGGAGATTTACTTATCTCCACGCAGAAATGATCACAAAGTGTTAAAAGTAGTAGAAGTGATGAGGTCATACTAAATTGAAGGGTCTTCTTTGGGAGTATCATGCCCAGTGTCCTCAGCTGCCCATTTATGGCAGAGGAAACAGTGATTCAAGGTGTAGATCAGGGATGCAAACCCAGGTCAGGGAGTCCCTTGATTTACTAGGCACAGGTGCCGGGAGCATGTGGGTGATGGGATTCCAGGGAAGGAGAGAGACTGAACTACCCTGTCTGAGCTGGTTTAGGGGCCTTTGGAGCTGCACCTGAGGCAGTGGAGTCTGTCACTGCCCTTGGCTGGTGAAGCCAGGGGAGCTGCAGAAGGTGGGGTGCTGTGACCACCCTTTGGGAAGGAGACTTTGTGTGTGCACAAAGCTCAGACATTTTGGTGAGAGGGTAGCAGGTGTTAAGAGGAAGGGAGCATTTTGAGAATGGGAAGACTGAAGAGTTGTCAGACATCTATGAAAGGATTTTTCTCTCTGGATTTGTTATACCTGCTTCCTGTATTTCAGTGTTACCTTTTTGAAAAAAGGATGATCAGCCCAAAGGGATAATCTTCAGCTGTAAAGCTGGAAAACACCAGCAGAGAGAAGCAGGTGATGTGTGACACAAAATAGCAAATGAACCAGCTAAAAAGCCATCCAAATTCCCAATAAAAAGAACATATTGACAAAAAGCATAAGAGTTGCCATTAGCATGGGATGGACTATTGCTGTGCACAGTAAATGAAGTAAATTTATTCCTGAATCCACTCTGACTTTAAGAGCTTTGCTTATAGCCAGATAAAATGTTTGTATGAAGAACACAGTAGCTTCTTCTTACTCATGTATAAAGATGTACCATCTAACTGTGGTAATGTATTATTATTATACTTCATCACAGGGTAAGGGTTATTATGTGCTCTGCCTGGCTTTGTTACTTGTTATGAAAGGCTACAGCACTCAGAGCTTTTAGCAAGCTGCAGTGGTTATCTGCTTGAAGCAAAAGCGAGGGATTCTTTATTTACTGCTCTAGCTCCTGATGCTCATCCCTGGATTTGAAGTAAAATTGCAGCAGGATCTGGAAATTGCATGGGTTTTGCTTACTCTGCTTTTATTTGCTGTCCTGATGTTCACTCAGGACAGAAAATTGTCACGTCCTCCATGGAAAAATATAAGCCCAGGAGGTTGTTTTTTTGGTTGGTTCCCTCTCCATTTTATAAGTAGCTACTTATGTTTTCACCTAAATATAAAAAATGGGAAGGAAACTGAAGCGTGCTCATATGACAGTTGTTCCAGTGACCTCTCAAGAACCACCTCTTCCCTCCTTCTGCCCCTCATCTTTTTTTCACTTGGCTACCCTGGGGCAGCCACAGGGTACTCCTCAATCCTCCCTGGACCTACTGCTTTCTTGCCTTCGTGTTGGGCAGCTCCTGAAGTTGACAAGAAAGTCAGACACTGGGTGCTGGGGGCAGGAGCCAGCAGAACTTCTCAGGAATGTGGGACCGGTGGAAAGACAAGCATCCTTGGAATACACGAAGGTTGGAAGCTTTCATGTGTGCTGGTGCATATGTATCTCTGTGGTGCAGGTTTTCATGTGTGTATTTATATCTCTGTGGGCCATCTGGGTGCTCCAAGTTAGTTGCAATGTGCGTGTCAGCATGATTGTGAGTGTATAATGGCGAGCTTATGTAGTAAAGAAACAAAGGTGCTCCTTAAAGGGCTCACCCTCTTGGTTTCTGTCATGAGAATTTGAGTGGAGAGCTAAAGAGGAATTTCCTCCTTAAATGTCACCAAAAACCAAGTGGCTTTAGACGTATGATGTGGAACACTTGAAGTGCTGGGGTGTGACAGAGGACTTTGCAGATTCTAAATGATGTTATGCTTTTAATATGTTCTTGTGAATTCATGCCTTGAAGTGCAAGAATTTTAGAGAGGCTCTGTGAAGGGTAAGAGGACTGAAATTTGACCTGCCCTCAGAACAAGGTTTGCTTGATGCTCCTGATCTGTGCAGTTTTCATTCCTCCTGCAGTCAGGGTGTGATGTTCTGGATGCAGCAGGTGTGTTCTGCTGCCAACCCGCTGGCAGCAGGCACAGATAGCTGGGCCACCCTCAGGATGCCAGGACACCCAGGAAACCTTTCCTCTACACCTGCCCCTCTGTTACCTGAGTGGACAGATTGAGCACTCATCCCTACTGGTTATCCCTCCCCTTGGTTTCCAGTGAGTGGAATTCTTATGGGATTCCCAAGAGTTGATTTTCCTGTTATCCTCCTTCTTTTGTTGAAATTACCCTGGCTTTGAGAGCTGTAAAATTAGTAGTTTCAGAACCCCTCAATTGTATTTGTAACTCTTCATGCTCAAGATGTTTCTTGGTGTGAATGCACACAAATCACAGTGATTTGGAAGACAGGATGATGTGTTTGCAACAGCCTCTGCACAGACTGTATTAAATACAGAATGATTTGGGACAAGGGAACCCAAATTATTAGTTCCTAGCTTCCACTAATGAATCATAATATTGTGTGTAGATCTTCATAAATCTTGGTTTATATCTTCACTTGCTCCCTTGAAAGAGGCAGCCCTGCAGAAGGCACTGAACGTTGCAAACCCCTCTGCACTGTTTTCACAGCTGTTGAACCCTCATGCTGTGCGGTGGCTTTCTAACCCATCAGCTCTCTAGTTTCTACTTCTCTTATTCTACCTCTTAGACTTCATTCAACAGGCCTTTATCTGAGTATTTTCCTGTCTCTGCCCCAGCAGCATCCCTCATTGAAAACAAAGATGGACTCAGTATAAAAGGCTGTAGGATTAATTTGTTCAGTTTTCTGCTCATCTCATGTCTAATTTGGTATCTGTTGCAAGAGACAGAGTGACTCCCTATGGTTTCTTCTCTGGTTACCCTGGCCTTCACTGTCCAAATATGATTTTGAGGCATATTTTCTTGATTATTGAACAGGTGTAGGTGACTGCATGAGCTGCTGTAGTTGTGGTCCAAGACTCTGCACCTTAATTTTGTGTCTATTGTACTTATTTCTCAAGTTTCATTGTTTTTGTTTTTTTTTTGGTCATTTTTGACTAGAGATGGCATTGTAGACATAAAGTGTTGCTACAT